CGGGGAGGAGGCAGAAATCTTTAATAAATAAATAAATTAAAAAAAAGAATATTAACTCACTGATAAGATGTGACCAGCGTTTCTGTTGAATCGTGTCTCCTGTTTCTCATTTTCTATACAGCACAACATATTAAGAATGCCATATATAGAGCCGGGCGGTGGTGGCGCACGCCTTTAATCCCAGCACTCGGGAGGCAGTGGCAGGCGGATCTCTGTGAGTTCGAAGCCAGCCTGGTCTACAAGAGCTAGTTCCAGGACAGGAACCAAAAGCTACGGAGAAACCCTGTCTCAGAAAATCAAAAAAAAAAAAAAAAAAGAATGCCATTTATATATATATTTTGAAGGAATGTACTCATCTCGCATACCACTTCTTATACATTACAGGATTTAGAGATAGAAATTTAATACTCACCACGATGTCTATAGCTCCCCCTCAGTCCTATAATTACTACTAAAATAAATTTAATAGTGATGGGATAAGCACAGCTTTTGCAGTGTGATACTTAGTTACCATAGTTACTCTGGCTACATATATTAGACGTTTTTCTGATTTTCATTTATACGTTCAGATTAAAACTGCATGGCTTTAATCATCCACACTGAGATTGTCTTCTGCACTTTAGGTTAGCAATCCCATTGAGGAACAGATGCCAGAATTCCATTGCCTGAATTTCCTCTTCCACTCTAGCTCTTTCTTAAGCATCCGGATACTAGTATTTCTTCCCCGAACTCATCAAGTTTGAGAGAAGAGAATATTGAGGATCGAAATAAGATACTGTTTAGGGCTGGGTTCTCCCATTAGATTATTTCCCTTAACTACTTGGATGCCTCTGGGCATAATTAAAAGACTGCTACTTTCTCTCTATTGTGTGAAATGTGTCACATAATTGAGTTGATTAACAGGCCACAGTTCTCTCTCAGAGCACTGTGACCTCCCAGAGATGACTTTCAAATGGGAATCTCTTCCTCAGTGGAGCCTCTCACCACTGAGAGCAGCTCTGTGGGGCGCTGGGGAGGCAGAGGAAGGTGGGAAATGGTCTCTCACTCAGGCCCTCCAATCCGTACCCCGACTGTCTTTGGCTGGGTGGGGAGTGTTGTTTGTTGAAATAATGAATAGTAGGTGGCATCATTAAAATAGAAAGTTTCAATTTGTGAATCCCTGGGGCTGTGTGAGATGAAACACCCTTACTTATCCCTGAAAATGAAGCCAAATTGCTTCCGGAATTTCCTCTGAGAAAGATCATCTAAAACAGCTATTGACATTTTAGCCCGGGAAATAAGACATTTAATTAATGTGTTTTAAACAAAGAGTACTATTTCTGTGAGGATTGTTCTTTTTAAAGTGTGTTTTCACCTATGTGGCAATTCTACCTGTAAAAAAGATAGTGTTGAGCTACAGGATGATGCTTCAGCTTATCTGGAAGCTTAGAAACTAAACAATTAGTTAAAATACCACTAACGTCACAGTAATAGTGCTATTAATCTTAAACAGCAACCTATGGAAAAAACCTAAATAATATTAGTGTTTGGAGAGAAGAGTTGGTTTAACTTCGGAAACTCTAGGAAGAGAGAGTCCCCTACACTGATTACTAACATCAGAGCTACCTCTTAGGAGAGAAAGCATTTTTAAAACTCTCAAACATTTTAAAAGCAAACTTTCATTACAAACTAGTACGCTACCTACTTATCAATCTCATCTACTCATTAAGTCTTCTCCAATGATGTTACAGAAAATTGGTTAACTCAGCCTTTGTATGTAAAATAAATTAACACGGTATTGATAAGGAACTATGCTCGTTCACTTTCAATAAAGTGTCTACTGAACCAGAGGTAGTGCTCTAAATCCTGCTCAACTGGTGTTCTGGTCTTTCCTTTTGTTGTTGTGATAAAACACTTTGATCAAAAGCAATTTAGAAGAGGAAAGAGTTTAAATGGCCTATACTTCCAGGTCACAACGCACCACTGAGGGATATATTGTGGGAAGGGAAGTCAGGGTGAGAATCCAGAGATAACTCTCTGGCTCATACTTAGCTAGCTCTCTTGTGAAGTTCAGGAACACCTGCCCAGGAAGTGGCACTACCCACAGTGAGCAGGGTTCTCCTACATTAATCAAGACAATCCCTCACAGACCAACTTATAAAGGCAATTGCTCAATGCAGAAGTTTTTTTTTTAGGTGATTCTAGGCTGTGTCAATTTGACAGTTAATGCTAACTAAAACAATAAGGTTAAGAAGATTGGAACAGAAAATAAATCAGGAATAAAATTAAAAGCGTCAGATTGCTAACTATGTAGAAATAAACAGTAATAGATAGAAAGTGACGGGTAGGGAGCTGAAGGAAATATGACATCATCATCTCTGAAGTAGTGATTGGGCTGATAACCAAATGATAAGACAGACATTCCTGAGTAAGAGTAATTTAGGAAATCGGGAACCCAAGTTATGAATACTTGACCTATAGCCAGTCAGCACATGGTAACGGAAATAACACACATACACATATACAACAAACAACAACAAAAGCAGACTTAACATTTGAGGGGACAAGAGCCTCAACAAGCAGAGGCCAACATACTCAATGTCTGAAAATTAGACTTTCCAAATCAAAGATAACATCCTCCTACCTCTTCCCCAGAACATGATAGTCTAAGCAAAGCTATCCTCTAATCCCTGTGCCCCTCCTCGGGGTTCAAGCTACCCCAGATGTGGGAACCCCAAACTGTTCGTCCAAACTCATACAGACACATTCTTCTTCAGTCACTTATCAGCCTAAGCCAGACTCCACTGTCAAGTGTAAGCCAGTCAGCAGTTAAGCTACCCTGTGATAACAAATTCTCCGAATCACCAGGACTTAGTGTCTGTGATGGACAACGGTTCCACCATTATCACACCCTAAGGAAGAAAAATATGAAACTAATCATTATTTCAGGATTAATTAATTTTATGTATCAGCCACTCTTCTAATTTTTCATAATCCATCGAGGTTAATATTACGTACATATTAAGGTTGAAAGTTTAATTTATTCAAGATATGTGGTAGAAGTGGAATAAGAGATACTACAATTCTAAAACCTGTGCTTTAAGCTAAAAGACATACATCCTAAGAGCTATTAATTAGCACTTTTCTTCAAAACATAGGAAAACTAAAAGTGTTCCAGAGAAAGTAAAATTACTAAGAAACTAAAATAGCTTTTCCCTAACGATTCATTAACATTAGCCTTAAGCACATGATGTTCATTTCAGTAATATTTATAACTAGAAAAGGCAGCAGATAATTGGATAGCAATCCACGGATACCCTGCCTTTTCAGTTCCCACGTTTCTCAGTTCCAAAGACCCACTGTTGTGGAATATTAGCTTAAGATGTGTTACATTCGTTTATGCTGTGGAACATTTAATGATGCAAAGACGTGTTGCATTCTTTTATGTTGCATTTGTTTAACTGTAAAACTGTGTTATTTTGCCTGTCTAAAACACTTGGTTGGTCTAAACAAGAGCTGAACTGCCAATAGCTAGGCAGGAGAGGGAAAGTCTCCATTAGTAAATTAGGACTTAGCATTCTCTGGAGTTCAACCTTGGGCACTAAATCTAACTCCAGTGTTCTTGCTGGTTTTTGAGTCAAATCAACTAAAATTCAACACCTAGTTTAAACTAAAAATTGTGTTGGTCACACAACATGGATAATATTATCTATAGGGTACTCCAATCTAACTTGTGAGAGTCAAACTTGAATTGCAAAGCTACTGATGAGTATTTTATAAAACATAAAGTAGCATTAAGGCAGGAAAAGGTTAAACTATGGGGACATAAGGCAAAGGAGCCCCTCACTCAGAAATTGAAGCTTGCCACAGGGCTAAAGAAAATCAAAAACTCCAGTAGAACTAACACTTGCTATGAAGATTGTCAACATAAAGGCAACATTCCATTATATAAAGATATTTTATATTGAGTTAGCAGCAAACCTTGCTTAAGTTCAAGCCTCTATACCCTTCAAGGAAGGCCTTCTTTCATTCCTAGATATTTTCTGGGAATCCCACAAAACAAGAGTATCAACTTCGTTTCCAGTGAAGTTACCCTAACTTAAGCAACCCTGGAATCTGGAATTTTGCCCCTATCAATGGTAATCTTGTTAGGTCCTCTTCACAAACACCTTGTGAGCTTAAACTCCTTAGCAGGCCTTCAAAGACAATGCCTTCAAAGGTCATCAAAATCCTGTACATAAACATTGTAAGGACAGCGAAGTATGAGTCTTCCAGCTTTGCTTCATACTGGCTTCTCTTAGAATTTTTTTTCCTTGTTGTGTCTAAGGGTCCATCTTTGCACGAGGGGTAAATCTCTCAAAACAAACTCTTCGGGCTGTTGTGGGCGACAGTCTCAGTAACTGAACAAAGTTAAACAATTTTATTTTATTTGGTTTTTCGAGACAGGGTTTCTCTGTGGTTTTGGAGCCTGTCCTGCCTTACGACTTGTGTGAAATTTTGTCTGTCTGACACCACAACGTTAACTTCAATCAGTGAGCACTACTACTTCACGGTGTTACTCAGGATGCTCGCACTAACTGCTTTTACTTCGAATCCCTCACAGGCTTAGGAGTTAGAGCAAAGCACAGCGCTGCAAAAGCCCACAGCGCGGAAACATTTTGGCCAAGCTTGAAAGCTTCTTCAACAGCTCCCGAGCGAAACTGAAAATCAAGAGGCGCCCAAAGATCACGACACGAACGCCACCCTGCCTGTCTGCAGACCGCTCAGAACAGAGGTGGGGAAGGCACGACGCAGCTCCAAAAAAATAAGCAAAACACTACAGAGTTTATCTTTCCCGCTGCTTCCTGCGGGACCAACCGGACGGCCTTCTGCCTCGCTCCGCGCCAGTTCCGTGCGCGCACTTTCATTGCGTCACCGCGCCAGGTATCGCGGTACCACCTCGCCGCCAAGGCCCTTGCATAAAAGTCTCGCGAAACTTGTCCCACGGGCCCACGGCTCCACGCTCGCCCTCGCCCACTCCGCCCCGAAGCCGGCGCTGCTCTCTCGGTCCGAGTCACAAAAACTCCCCTCGTCCGCTTCCTCCGGCGTCGCCTCCTTCCACCCAGTTCCGAGTCCAAACCGGAACTGGAAGTCTGGTGGGCGGGGCCCGCCGACGGAAAGCGCTGAGGAGCCGGAGCCGGGACTCGGCTGTGGCCCCGGTCGGTCCCGCGCCACGGAGCGCCCGGCGGCGGGGCGGCGCGGCTCGGGGCTGAAGGGCGGCGGGCGGGCCGGTGGGCGGGCGCGGCCCCCCGGGCGCCGCGGGGGATCATGTCGACAGCCTCCGCCGCCTCGTCCTCCTCCTCGTCTTCTGCCAGTGAGATGATCGAAGCGCCATCGCAGGTCCTCAACTTCGAAGAGATCGACTACAAGGAGATCGAGGTGGAAGAGGTGAGCGAGGCCGGGCCCTGCAGCCCCCGCGCCGCCGCCCGGGGTCGGGGAGCGGGAGGCGGCGGCTTCCGGACGGGCTTCACGGTTGACTTTGGATCTGTGACTCTAGACCTGCTTACATGCGTGGTTCGATTATCCGTAAATAGGTCGCGCGAAGTTTGGCTGCTGCGGAGTTTCGGTTCCCTGGTCGTGGTGTTAAAGGCCAAGATTGCGTGTGTGTGACTTCTGGTGTGATGTGTGAGACCAAAGGATGCTCGGGACAGGCTGTTAAAGAGACCGTCTTCCGGCGCTTTCCGCGCTCCGTGATTCTTCTTTCTCGGATACCATAGAGTAGTTCTGTCCCCCTGTTGGGCCAATGTAGATGAATTCCATTCTTCGGTGACACGAGGCTGTTATGAAGAGACGTTTGAAATGAGCTATGAAAGTGGCACATTCTGAAGAGGCAAGTAGTGATTATGGTGACTGCCAGACTATAACACTACACCAGAAGTCGCTGATAGAAAAACCGAATAAATGGAATCTTCAGTTGGAATTTCAGAGCAGACGTTTCTGAGTATCTTCAGTACATCACCTATTTTCAGTTCCACAGTGGTGTCAGTTCTAAGAATCTTCATATTTACAAAAGAAAAACTGTGTGTGTGTGTGTGTGTGTATGTGTGTGTGTGTGTATTTAAACTGCAGCTTAGAACTCTTTAAAACTGGTTAGAAATACCTTCGTGCATTTCCTATGACTTTTTCCTATTTTTAAGCACTTTGTGTTTTCTACACCATACTGTGCGATTTATGAGAATCTAGACTGAGTTGCCTTTAAGGTTTATTTTTAGTCAGTGTAGTAAGGAGTTAAAAGTTTCAAACTAATTAACACTCAACAAACACATTTTTACGTTAGATGATTGCTAAGTCCTTTCTCTTTATCACTAAGAGTAACTTTAGAGATCCCGTGTTCATTGAGACTATGGCTATCTTACAAGTGTGGTGGGAAGGGCAAGGTTTAAGACAAGAAGGTTCAGTGTGTAGGACAGGCTACTGTGTGACTTGGTTTCCCTCTGCTCCCCGAATGTTGGTTTCCTTTGCTGTAAGATAGGAGTAATCGTTACTCCATCAGTGTGACAAACCCTGCTAAGCAGTGGGTGCAGAAAACCCAGCATAGTATCTGACATATTGTTAGGAAATAAGGTTCCCGAGAAGGTGACCTGCTTTAAGGTCACGTCTAAAAGAAGGCCTGTTTGGGCAGAGGAAAACATTCTGTATATGGGGTTTTCCCCCCTCGTAAAGCTAAGATAAATTCCTTTTTTCAGAAGCGGGTAGTTGATCCAGCTTTCATGGACAACATTCTTTTTTAAGACTAAAAACTTCAGTGAGTCATTATGCAAGAATTGCAGTTTTTAAATAAGCATTTACATGTACCCTGGCGAATTGCTGTGCTTGTAGACTACAAATTGTTATATAATAATAACTCGTACTTCGTGGTCCACCACTTGTTTCCACACACTTACTGGGCGTGCTTCTTTCTTGCACAGTCCTCCTTAAAGCTCTCACCTTCTTGCTTCATTGAGGCCTGCAAGTTGTGAGGGAGACAGTAATCAGTTTGATGTTCTCAGCTCAAAGCTGGTATCTTTTTGAAATTTGTTTCATTTTAGTGCCTAGTTTATTTTCATATTCTTGATTTAATTCAGGCCTTTCTGATGTCAAAAGCATTACATAGTTTCCATTATAGTCCTATTTGAGCATATTAAACAGTATCGTATAGTCAGTGGTGCACCTCAGGCACTCGGTAGCTATTTTTCAACTTACATTCTACCTCTAGTTTAAATCATAAATAGAAAAAGAGAAAGATGACCCAATACAGAAACAATCTTACATTGCTTTCAGTGTTTTATATGGACAAACTATATCACCTTTTAAATTAAGAAAATAGTGGTTTGGGGTGTAACTCAGAATTCTTGCCCACCATGCTTGAGGTTCTGGCGTCAATCCCAGCACACAAACAGCAAGATAGGAGATCCACATAATTAATATCTCAATAACAGTACAATGGAATAGCATTACACAAATATAATTAGAAGCTGTGGTTTAAGAAAACAATCTAGTTATAGACCAGATGTGGACTCATTTAGTACATACTCATTTCTAAGACAACAGATGCTTTTCATCATTGCATTCTTAGTATTATGGCTCTTCACTTTCAAAATTTAACTGCTACCAAATTATATCAGTTTTGTGCCTCCGAAATCTACGTGGGTACTTAATTTTTTAAAAAAGTCAGTTTTTAACCTTCTTGTACTTGAGCAAAAAGAATTAACTGTAGACTGCACTGAGGGCGGGATGGTTAAAAAATGTGGTTTGGTGAAAAATATATTAAATTGAGTATATAGAAAATTAGGTGCTATATTGATTATGCCAGACTATATTTAGGCAGGTCATTTATTTTGGAGACCTGTATTTTTTCTCTTAAATACTGACATATTGGACAAGATCAGTAAATGTCTATTCCAACTGTAAAATAAAATGCATGTGTTCTCTTGTTCTCCACAGATCGTTTAGAAGTTCTTAGGCAGTCATAATCGTCCTAGGAAATGGAGTTGGGTAGACAGACCTCATTTCACAGATACTGACTCGAGGTTATAAAGTTTGGTTTGCCAAAAGCTGCATCTCTTAAATCAGTGGCAGAGCTAGGAATCTGAAGTTTCTCAGTCGTGAGTCCTTTGTTCTTTCCTCTAGATTTAGAATGTCACTGCGGTACTCCATAGTGAACCCCTATTCTAGGAATGAAGATACTAAATACTGATTTCCTCCATAGGAGTTGGTGCTCTGCAGCCAGCATTTTCTTCTCTGTGCAGTGTGCTGAGGCTCAATGGAAGAATCCTAGAGTTAGTTACATTTTCAGAATCATAATGTCAGAGTTGGAGATGTGATGTAGCTCAAGCATATAAGCTATAACTTGACAGTTGGCGAATCACAGCAGCTCCAGTAAGTGGAGACAGAATTGAAGCTAGGTGCAATATAAATTCACTTTCGTTGGTTCAAAATATCACTAGTGAATAATTGTCTTTGCACTTATTCCTCTGCCTTTGAGCTCTTCCTCCAAAGCATCACATGACTGCTTCCTTCTCACCATTCAAGTCCATCTCAAATGTTTCTTCCCTAGACAAGCTTTTGCCAAGCAACTTGGGACTTGGTTATTTCTGTTCTCCTTTGTGACACTTACCTGTAATTGAATGACATTTCTAACCCTAGCGCACAGTACCTAAAGGTTCTCTAAGTATGTTTTGAACCAGTGAATGAAATTATCATAGCAAATTATGAGAATTAAATGCACATCTGATTTTCTTATATGTAGTAAACCAGGGGTTAATTTCCATAATTTACCTAAGCTAGCACTACACAGGCAATGGGATCTGACTCTTCCCAGTCTCGATGCCCTTCTTCCTCATTGTACGTAGCAAATGTTTAGCAGGGGTACAAGACCCTATGAAGAGCCAAGCGCTGTGAGTGAATCAGTCATTGGTGGATTTCACTTAAGTAGACTGACTGTATTTATAGGGTTACTCTGTCAGGGGGTCCCAGAGTGGTGACCACAGCTAAGGATATTGGACATGTAAATCACTCTTTGTGTGTGTCCTTGTGTTTTATTGGAGATACACAGAAAAGTATACTAGGATAAGACTATGTAAAAAGAACTTTAGCAGTGACTATAAACTATTAGGCTACTGATTCTAGAGGAGAGCCTAAAATTATAGGGCTTGAATAAACTGAGTCTATGGTTGTTAGTGGGTGGTTATGGAAATCCAAAGATAATCGGTACGTGTGAAACTGATGGCCACTGAGCTCAATAGAAATCCGGAATGGCTAAAATAAAGCATGGGGTGCAGACATTATTTACGTGTCATACACATGTAGCCGAACAAATAATCTGAGCATATCATTCAAAGGAAAGGCTCGTTAAGTGGGTCAGGTGTGGTATTAGCTGCTTTTACATTGCTGTGATAAAATATCACGACCAAAACCAACTTGAAGAGGGGTTGATTCTGGCTTACAGTTCTAGAGAGTTAGATGTTGACGGGAAGACATTCTATGGCAGGCTCTAAAAGACTAGAAGAGCAGAACAAGCGAAGCTCCGCTTTTCTGTTATCAAGCCCGTCTTGTCAGCAGCTCTGCTCCGTGACAGTTTATTAATAGATATTGAGGCTCCGAAGAGTTGGAGACGCCACGTCCTAACTAATGAACTTAGGATCTACGCTTGTTCTGTCTTGTTCCCGATTTCTTGCCAGAATGATAGCACCATAGTTGGGGCTCCATTCACTCCGTGCATAGGACAGAGCCAGACCAAACTGACTAAATAAAATGAAGACAATGAACATGAATCATCTCGTGTTAAGAGCACAAGAGTGTACAACCCTTTCCATTAGTTTAGTTTATGCATCAAGTGGTTGGTTTTTTATCTTATTTGGATGAAGGAAAGGGGTAATGTCTAATACTTGAGGAATTGGGCTGCCTGTGTACATGTTCACATCTTTGTAGGTGCACCTGTATACACGTTTGTGGGATCCAGAAGACAGACAACCTGTGTTCTTCCTCCAGTGCCATCAACCCTCCTTTAAGACGGGATCTCCTGCTGTCTTGAAACTTACCAAGTGTCTAGCCTGGCTGGATAGTGAACCCTGGGGACCTGCCCATTTTTGCCTCCCCAGTGCTAGAATTATGAGTTCCAGTATACCAGATGTACTGAACTTAGCTTCTAGGTTTGATCTTGGGCCCTTATACTTGTGGAGTAAATGCTTTACCAACTGAGCTATTTCCCCAGCCAAAGAAATTAATATTTTAATTGTTTTTTGTTTTCTTTTAGTAGTAATTACATGGTGATATTCTATATATCATCTCTCATTGACTTACTAAGAATTAAATTTGAATTTGTTTTTTGAAGCTAAATTAGTAGTTTGAAAACTAAAAGAGCTAAACCACAGGGGAAAAAATGCATACAATAAGAGAATTTAAAACAT